GTAGAATAATAATTAAATTTAATATAAAATTTGGTTTGAATTTATTTTTTTGCATTGTAAGCTTATTATATTTATTAATTTACTATTTAAAATTAAAAAAATTTTTTTTAAAAAAAAAAAAAATCCGGGTTGCCGGGTCAAAAAATTTATTTTATGTTATGAAAACCAAGAAATTAACTTTGTATCGCCTTAGTTAAAAAGAAAGTAGATCTATACCTTGACGAATTGCAATATGAAATAGGAATAATAACTGGAAAGTGGGTCTCAATTTCGACGATATATCGTTATTTAAGATGCAATAACATTACGCGAAAAAAGGTTCGTTATTTAAGACGATATAACATTACTTGATTTTTTTTTTTTTTTTTAAAAAAAAAAAAATTTTGTAGTTGCATAAAGCTGCTCTTGAGAGAAACGAAACTCTTAGATCTGCATTTATAGCACATATTGCAGATTATTATCAGCCTGAACAACTTATTTTTATCGATGAGGCGTCAAAAGACGAACGCACTTGTACTAGGACTCATGGATACTCTACTATTAATACCCGTGCCTATAAAAAAACTATTTTTATTAGAGGTAAAAGGTACACAATTCTGCTTGCATTAACGTTAACAGGCATTATCGCCATTGAAGTCATTGAGGGAAGTTGTGATAAAAAATGTTTTGAAAATTTTATAATTGACGAGGTTGTAAGTATTGAATAAAATAACAAATATGTTAAAAAAAATTGTTTAAGTTTCTATATTAATATTGCAAATTATAAATATTAATATAAATACTGTTTTAAGGTTTTACAAATGCGAGCGTATCCTGGAATGAACAGCATTTTAGTTTTGAATAATGCTCAAATACATAACAGCGAATTATTAATTGATATGGTTAATGCTATTGGTGCACAAGTCTTATTTCTTCCACTCTACTCACCAGATTTCAACCCGATTGAAACAGCATTTTCTTTTATTAAAAGCTATCTAAAGAGAAATCATGAATTTGTGCAAGCAAGTACTGATCTGGTCTATCCAATTTTAGCAGCTTGCGCCAAAATATCACCCGATAAAGCAAAAAAATTTTTTCAGCATTCGAGATATTTATAAGATTTTTTTTTTTTGAAATGTACGAGTTTTGGTTTATTGTAATTTTTAAAATTTTGATTAAATATTTTGAATGTGTATGGGTCGCATTTTAAGTGTTAGATTAAGTCATAATTTTCTTTACATGTCAATGCAAGCTTTCCAAACAAAAGTTTTTTTTTTAATTTCATTGTTCTCAGAATGAACGTTTTACTAAAATAAAATTGATTTCCTTACTCATGTAAGGCAAACACTATATGGACAGTACAGTGGATAGCATTGTGCAAGATGCTTCTTTACATCTTTCTTGTACAGTTAATTATGCCCAAAAGAATCAAACAGACCAAATCTATACTGAAGCCAGCCACATTAGGTAGAGCAATTTTTTAGTAGAGTTAAAATAGAAAAAAAAATAAGTAGCTGTGCAAAAACAAAAAAAAAAGAAAAATAGTACTTATCTCTTAGTTTTGTAGGGTTCAAGGGGTTTCGTAATTACGTGATATAGTTAACCATTGATTATCACAAGAGTAATCAAAAATTCACAAACAATATATTTTATATCTGTTGTATTGATGGATTTAATTATATTAATAGTGCAATTTATGTAATTGATTTAGAGTTAAATAGTCATATATAAATAGTATAAGAAAATAAAAAGTTACTTTCTTGCCTTTTGCTTTGAGAGATATCATAAAATCAATACTCTTACATTCATGTTAAGACATTGATATATTTCTGTTAAACTATTGCTTTTGTTATATCTGTCATCTCTGTAGTATATATCATATTTGTTATACCGTAAAACGCATATAAAATACCCCATGATCGGTGCTCCTTTGATTTGTACTCCTCTGTATTTGTACCGAGTATGTTGTAAAAGTGCAAATTTTGTGGGCTGCGTCAGAAAAAATACTGGGTCATTATAGAATCTACTTACTACAATAAAATAATAACTAAACTACTATAAATAGACCACTAAAACTACTTTAACCAAACCACAAGATTTGTTAGGCAACGATCGAGGCGTAGAAAGGCTTGGTCCGAGTAACCAGGGTTAATTGGTTGGTAGTGACAGTATTCAATTCAAATAAGTGTCCTCTTATTCTCTTAACAAGTATCTTGCTTCTTCTTGACACCTTTACTAATACTATAAAATACTATAATTTCTTCCTTTCGATCGAAATTAGCCAATCAGAATGTGGTACAAGGTCACAGTATCACAGGATCACGAATCGACGTTGATCACAAACTTAATCAGGATATGACTAATACAATTCTCTCTAATCGGTCACAGGGTCAAGAAAATACGAAATCGTCGACCAATTTTTAATACAAGGGTACGACAGGTCAAAGACAAACATTTCTACTCTTATTTCGAAGGTTTTCTTAGAACTTATTCAAATTAAACTTTTGAAAGTTAATCTTTATTTGAGCGAAAAGGCGAGTCTTTTATATCTTTTACTTATTTATGAAGTACATTACTATATTCACTATATTAACTATATTTAACATATTCATCATGTTAACTATGTACACTATGTTTACTATGTTATCTATGTACACTATGTGCGCTATGTACACCATGCTGACTATGTTCATTATGTTGAACATGTCGACTATAAGGAACTTTTTTTCTAAGGTAATAATTTCTTTTCGCTTACTATTTTGGGAAATTTACTAAACAGGTACTAACTAGATTTTGTTTGTCGAGCTTCAAAAAGGAAAATAATTCACAACTAGAAGTAGTACAAGTCACTCTCATTATAGTGAACTCTCGATATAGTGAAGACTAATTAAAATCTCGATATAGTGAAGTTAAGCTCGAAGCCAGTTTATATAAAATTCTCTCGATATAGTGAATTTACTAATAAAACTCTCGATATAATAAATTTTTAAAAAATTTTTATTAATGGAACGGATCACTTCACTATAAAGAGAGTGACTTGTAATATATGGATAATAAAATAAAATAAATAAAAAAAAATAGAATAATAAAAAAAAAATAGTAATAGTGGAACTGTCACTGTAGAGCCCGTCACAACGTACGTTTTGAGGTTATTTGTTATGATGTTTTATAAGATCCCTAGATAAATCAATTGTTGATTTAATAATAACAATTTTTTTCTAATGGGCAAATACAGGAAGGTATAAGTCTTGCAAGATATAAAATGGCTGGACGGGATATATGTGTTGATTCTGACTATAGATGCTGGTGAAACTGGTGAAATTTAATATAACAGCCAATCAGATTTTAGATAGTCACCAGTTTCACCAGCATTACTTAGCTTCACCAGCATCTATAGTTCTGATATTAAATAAGTAAACCGAATGTTCAATTGTAATAAACTTTCACCTAACGCTCTTTGATTAGATCTTTGTGAAAATAAGAAATCGGCTAACAATAAATTCACCAAAACCTGCAGCATAGTAGTAATGGTTCCGAGTGAACTTATTCATAGAATTTTCGTATGTTTACTGTTTATTATAGGATTAGTTTTGTAAAGCATCAATCATTTCCAACATTTTATTTTATATCTTCAATTTTTTATGGAACCATCTAGATTTCATGCTTAATTGATATCCAGCACAGTTACTGACCAAGTTGTTAGTACATATGTAAATTATAGAAAATTACCAATTTAGACATTTATGTGTCGTAATGTTGGAAGACTTAGTAACAAATCTCAACAAACTTTAAGGGCTCTTAAAGCGATTCTATGTCATCATTTAATAGCTTCGAATTAACATCCAACACGTCACTTGTTGAAACCGCATCAGTTATATTCATCTGCACGATTGCTTTACAATTAAAAACAATATTTCAAACACTTAAAATTCTGATAGGATAGTTAAAACAATACTAATGCATTTTTCTCAACTTGAAACACTAAATTTGTCATTATGCATTAATGTAACAGCTCAAGTGTTTGATCTAGGAGATAAACAGTGCAAGTGTTAAAAATCTCGACTTGAGCGGCTATCAAAGCATTGACAAAATAATGGTTTCCTTTATAATTATTCTATTGCCAAATATTACACGACTATAATCTTCACCTAATTTCTGAACAATAACCGTGATAAAACTATATGACAAGACCATTCGAACCCACATACAAAGAAAACTAACTATGCGATATGTTTTTTTTTTTTTTCTATTTTTTTTTTTTTTTTTCTTTTTTTTCTATTTTTTCTTTTTTTTTCTATTTTCTTTTTTTTTTTTTTATGTATTAATTCTTTTCTTTAATTAAGCGTCTATTGGCTATACTCTTTAGAAGCCTCCTGCAATGCGATTTTCCAACCTGCTTTTGTAATTCCTACTAAGTCAAGTTGTTCATCAGTTAATTTAGATATCTGTTCAACTTGAATAGCTTGATTTTGAAATTTTGATAAACATGCTAAAATTTCTCCATTTGCATTCTTAGCCTCGTCTATCTTTGTCAAAAATTCATCTAGTTGAGGAACAGGTTTAGAAGAACTTAATCCTTGTAATACTGAATTATTTATTGAAGTATATAAAGGATGTAGATTAGAAAAATTTGAAAACAGCGTAAAATAAGGTTGTGAAGAGATATTAGGTAATAGTTGTGAAGGGATATTCGTCATTGCATATAAAGGAACATTTGGTAATATTTGTAAGGGTGTATTAGATAAATATGGAAAAAAATTATTTAACGGTTGTAGTGAAAAATTATTTGCTATTTGAGATGGAAAATTAGTCGATAGTTGCATTGGTTGTAATGGTATTTGTGACGGCATTTGTGACGGCATTTGTGACGGCATTTGTGATGGCATTTGTGACGGCATTTGTGATGGCATTTGTGACAGCATTTGTGACGGCATTTGTGACGGCATTTGTGACGACATATGTGAAAGCGCTTGTGAAGGCACTTGAGACGGTACTTGAGAAGGTATTTGCAAAGGCATTTGCTGAGATGATTGTGATGATAGTTGTGAATTAGATATTCCTCTTTTGTTAGGTGGTAATGTAAAGATTGCATGACTTGGTGGCGTGTTAATATCTGTTAGTCCATTTAACTATTTGAAATAATTTTACAATTTTTAGTTAATAGTAAATATCACTGAATAAATAGGTATAACAAGTTTTACATACAATTGCACGAGCCCATGTTGTATAGTGCATGCCTGTTAATTTAACGTGACCAGTTTTAGTAGCCCAACAGGAACCTTCACAATTAGCGCAAAAATATTTTTCACGAATTTGAGAAATAGTAGATGCCATGATACGTTTGTCATCATCAAGCTGAGATTCTTTAGGCTTTGCACTAAATAAACGTGGTTTTTTTTTATTTAAGTTATCATCGCTATTAGGTTCTTCAGATCTCTAAAATTATAAAATAGCCAATTAATTAATAAAGTATTGTTGTTTTGGCATGGCCGTCTGAAGTTCTAATTTCGTTTAACGTTCTTTTCGAAGCTTAAGCGCAGTGAGAAAGAACATCTCAAAAATCTATTGAAATTTCAAAGATATAATGACTGGGACTAGACTTATCTTACAATAATTTATATTGGTAAGTTACATGTAAATTACTGTAACTTATATATAAATTATGTAAAGGTTATGTAAGTTAACAACCCTAACAGGAACGGTAAATACTTCCGTTAAGAATAAAATGGAATTATTTTAGCCAATCAACCATATCTCAAATTATTTTAAAAATTGAATTTGATTGACTAAAAAAAAAAAAAATGTTAAAATAAAATAGAATTTATTTTGGAAGTGTTCACCGCTCCTGATAGTGGACGTTCTGACTGGCTTGTCTGATTTTAGCTTTTGAAGGTGGTGGAGGAAAAACGTTAAACGACATAGTCATTTCAAACAGCCTAAATTCTATAAAAAAAAAAATAATGTAATTATGTACCAATCTGTGTAATCGTTTTTTTGCATTGCTTTTTAAAGATTGCCGCATTTGAATATTAATAAAAACTTCTTTTTTTCTATTTGTAGCCTGATTATAATCCTCAAGGAAACTTTTAAAATCACTCTCATTGATAATTTGAGTTCCTGACCCAGTTTCTTTTGTCACTTTATATGATAATACATAATCATTTTGGGTAATAGTAGTTTCATTTAATTGATATTGAATATGCGAAAGAATTTGATAATAGAAGTCGCCACAAGAATCTGCTAAAATGTTTAATCGTTTGGAGTATTATCTTGATTTTTAATACATAGTTTAAGTAAAAATTCTTTACTTTCATACTTATTATCTTTATTATCCAACTCATCTAACTGTCTGCTAAAATTGTTATTCTCTAAGTCTGATACTTCGATATCATCTAAAAGATCTTCGAATTCATCGCATATTGGTGTATCGTAATCGAAAGCGGTATGATCATCGATCTCAGGTATGTTGGTAATATGATTATTAGTATCAAAAGTTGTATGATCATCAAGTTTGTTGGTTTCGGTTTCGGATATGTTGGTAATATGATTATTGGTATCAAAAGATGCACGTTCGGTAGGACTAATAGATTTAGATTTTGAGTTTGTTGATCTAGTCGACTTAGATTTTGTAGATTTAGTTGACTTTGATTTTGTCGGTTTAGCTTTACCAATACGATACCATTTACTATTGCATGCAGAACAAAATGAAAATTTGAAATTTTCTGTAAACTCTGTATTATAATTATATTTTGTCTTTGAATCTGCTAAGAG